CGCTAGCTCCACTAAATTGTGGATTTGTATTTGCCGTTGAGCTAAAACACGTCAACGGACCGCTTTAGGACAGGTGTGTGAGTTAGCGTACGAGTGTCAAGTGTGTACTGGTATCTACCTTTGGTCTGACTTCTTAAACGGACTGGTTACGCCGTCGATCGCCTTTTAGCTGCTGTGTTTTCTTTACAACTTAAGGCGGAAGTTTTTTAGGACTGGCCCGAGCGACATCTTCCGGACCGTTGCTACGTAAACACACAGCAGCCAATCAGAGAGCGGCTGGATGGAGCGACAGAGACGTCACAATGGATTTCTGTTGAAGCATTTTTGGGTTCGTTTGTGGAAGTTTTTACAAATAACACACCACAGTTTTATTTGACTGATATAAGTAGGCTTTATGCAATGTTTAAAAATCTGTTCATAGGATAAAGATAAGAAATCTGATCACTGCAAGAGTTCTTAAATCTTTTGTTTCTTTTTATATATTTATCCTTTTTTATCTTTATATGTAACTGAGCAATTTTGCACTTTATCTTGTTTTGAGCAGTTTTGCACTTTATTTTGTTTTTTACTTGCACTGAAAATAGGAGAAGCTCTCCAGTCTGTATAATGACAATAAAGGACATTAATTCATTCATTCATTCATTCATTCATTCATTCATTCATTCATTCATCACTGGATAAAGCCATCATGCTGACAAACTACCATCAATAATTTTTACAGAGGGAATTTGGAATATTTCTTTTCATCACTCCATAAATCAGAAAATACTGTCAAGAGCCATAAAAAAATATCTTGGCCATGTTTTTAGGAATAAAATGTTCTCTGAATTAGGCCATAATGAATACATAAACCCCAAAATAAATAAATAAATAAATAAAAACAATTTAGATAGTCTTCATATGTATGGATAAAAAATAAAACAATACCAGAGTATTGCAATATTCCTTAAAATTAACAAATCAAACTGCCATTTTGTTCCAGTGTGGGGATCTCAGTAAACACTTTACAAATGTTTACTCCATTCAAATTTCTGGCTTAGGTACTGAGGTAATGCACAGAAATAGCTAAGAAAACTCAGTGACAAAATATTGCCGCAGGGAGAAAACGTTATTTTTAGTCCAATCAAGATGCGCACCTCCTTTGCAACTAATGACTATATGTCCATATCTTCTCCTTACATTCTAAGCATATCAAAGGGTCAAGGGTCTGATCGGTTATCTTATTTTGAAGGAATGCAGAGGTCATCTTACAGGCTGCCTGTGGAGCTGTCTGGATTGTGTCACTATGATGGGTCAGAGGAGTGCTGGCTCCGGCTGGATGAAGCCCTCACGGAGTACAAGCAGCAACATGGTCAACAGATCCATCACAGGAGATGGAATCCTCTCTGTTTTTCATTAGGGGAAAAGGCAGGGAGCATATGGTTACACCAAAAAGTCCTTCTGCCAAACAGCTTACAGAATATGAGGGGACTAGTGTGATATATCAATAAGTTATATTCAGAATTCTTTTTTCCTGAAAGATTGTCATCATCTCTGTTTGTGAAACACCTTCCTAAACCTTTTGTTGACTCAAGGACAGGACAATTAGTGATTACAGGTGTGCTGTAGGTGGTGTCTTTGTTGATGAAATGTTTATTCAAAGCTCTTGTTGGTCCACTTCTTACTCTCAGTTTACAGTTTAAAGTAAAAAGTTATGTTCAAATATGCGACTGAGGGAATATATTTAAAAATGCTCTAATTTACAATCATTTCCAGACTAGAAATCTGCACATTAGATAAATTTAAATACATTTTTGCCATGTTTTTAGGGATGAAATGTTCTATAAATCAGGCTGTTGCTGGTATATAATTATATATCTGAAAAACTTTCAGAATTTAGATGAGAATAAAATTGGAAAGTTTGGCGTGCGTAAATGCTACTGAAGTGGAGATTTCAGGCTCAGAGAAGGAGACAAAACTCATTTTGAGAAAATGGCCTTTAAAGATAAAACTAAAAAGAAAAATGTAACTGTTAAAAATGACTTTATTAAAAAAAAAAACACAGGCCCCACAGTCGGAACTCACTGCAGTAAAAGTCGGCACAATTTCATTACTGAGATTCGAATCTATTATTTTTTAATTGCCTCGTATTTTCACTTTTTATTTTTTTTGATGACTCCGTTCTGCTCTGCATGGAGGAAGCCGGTGTAGCATAAATTTCTGGAGAGGTGTTCTGCTATTCTTCAGACACATTTTCTTTTTCAGCTGCTAATTGCTGGAGGGGATGTGTTGCTCGGACTTGTTCTTTAAAATACCCCAAAGATGTTCTGTTGGATTCAGGTCAGATGACAAACTTGGTCAGGTTATACTTTTCACATTTACATTTTTACAAACTCTATTTTTAGCAGTGTCATCTTTATCACTCTGAAACTTTCCTCTTCTGCCAATCTTCTGCAGACTGGGAGTCATCTTGTCTGTCAGTATTTTGGTATTCATCTACAAATGTCATCTCCCCAACACTTTTATTTACTCATGCAGCCCTATATTATCACACTACTACCGCCAGACCTCACTATCAGGACCATGCATTCACTGTGGTAGTCCTGATGAGGTTCACATCATACATGAAATTATCTTGGTCTCATCTGACCAAAGAATATGCTCCCAGTATTCATCAGGCTTATTTTCATGTTCGTCAGCAAAGTTTAATTTTGCAGTTTTGTGCCAAAGAGCAAGCAAGAGTGCTTTTCTTCGTCGTCATCCATAGAGGTTGCAGTTAAACAATGTGTTTCATATTATCTGCGCTGTCAGAAAAACTCTGATTTCCACTGATAACCTCTGTTAAATCTGAAGTACTCTGTGTTTTAGAGCTACATTGTGCAAACAGCTCATTGTCTGTTGCGTCATTTTTGGAGGATGGAGACTGTGGCACAGAGTAGCGGTACGGTGGCTCATCCTATACCTTCCTGTTACACTGATTTTTAGTTAGTCACTGATCATCTTGCATCCTTTTCTACCTTTGTGAAGCCTCTAAATCAGATTTTTCAGTTCCTCTGGTAATCATTTTCCATGTGGAGCCATGATGCAGACATAAATATAAACACATTATGTAAGTAAGAAAATTCTGGTGTGTACAGTTGCTTTTATAACCATGTTCATGCAGTTAGGCTAATTAGAAATCACAGGCGTACTCAGTTTTGTCTCAGTGATCACTGGAAGGTTCCTGTTACTGTTTACTTTTGCTTCACTGGGTTTCTACTTTGTAGTCTTTCTAAAGCGCTTGTTTTTGATGGTGCATAAGAGGAAATACTCTAAATGTCAACTTAAGATATAAAGCAGTGACTGAGCGGTGAGACAGTGTGCAATCATTTGATGTTTAATCCACAGTTTTGTCTCCACTAGTCTAAAATTGAGAGAAACATCCACTAGGGGGCATAACAGGGATCAACTGTTGCTAGTAAATGCAAGATTTTTTTCCTCCTTTTTAAAAAAAACGAAAATGTTAAATTCCAAGATTCAAAGTTGGATCTACAAAAAAACTTGCTTTAAAACTTTATGCATGATGTAAACATCAGGGTTCATTTTGCTAACGAGAATTACAACTTATAGATTTGTTGCTCTCCTTGACAGCTTTTTGAAATGATGAAATTGAAAACAAAAAAAAATCTGTATGTATTTTGCCAGTATCCATGACACTAACCATCGAATTGCAGCACAAATTCATGTCTGTTCAAATTTTTTTTTCTCCCACTAGTCTAAAACAACAGAAAAGAAAAGAAAGCAAAGCATCTCAAAATCTCAAAATTACGGAGCCCCAGAAGGGACATGGAGAAAGAAAAAAGACAGGGAGAGCACAAAAGAAAAGAGGAAGTTTCTTTTGCAAGATCTCACAAAACTTTCTCGGGCTCTCACAATAACTTTTGCGAGATCTCACAAAACTACAGGTGTACTTCTGGGTCTTTTTGTCAGTATGGAGAAATGACAGTGGAGGACATTCAGCTCTGGATGTGATCAGATGAGATGTCTCATTAGTTATTGCGAGATCCTGAGAAAGTTTTGCAAGATCCTGATTTCGCAATAACTTTTGAAAGATCTCGCAAAAGATGCCTCTATTATTTTTTTTTTCCTCTCCCTGTTTTTTTTTTCTTCTTTCTCCATGTCCCTTCTGGGGCTCCGTACAAAACTGACAAGAGTTTGAAAAATAATATTTTTGCATGCAGTGCTTCACCTCAAACTGCAATCATACAGTCGTCCTCAAATGTATTAATACCCTCCCATTAAAGAAGGAAAAACACAGCTGTCAGTGAAATAAATTAAAATTAACAAAAGTAATAAAAAAAAAAAAAGAAAATCATGACATTGCTTTTGAATTGTAGTTCAACAGAAATATTTTTTTAAAAATCAAATTAAAAAAAAAAAAGCCTGATGGGACCCATAACCTAATATTTTGTTGAACAACCCTTTGAGCCAATCACTGCAATCAAGTGTTTTCTGTAACTGTCAGTCAGACTTCTGCTCCTGTTGACAGCTATTTTGATTTTAGCCCACTGCTCATCAGCAAAGTGCTCTAATTTGTCCAGGACAGTTTGTTTTTTTAAATTATTCTTTAAACCACAATTCAAAAGCAACGTCTTATTTCACTAAATTATAATTTATCAAATTTTTATTTATTATTACTTTTTTCAGTTTCTATTGTGAATTTTGCCTTTTCTTTAATGAAATATATTTGAGGACGACTGTAGGTGACTACATGAAGATGAATGAAAAGCAACAACATCCTTTATTTTAATTGAGCTGTCATTCTTCTGCCTCCCACTATGCTGGAAAACACCAGAGGCAGCCCGATCACCTCAGATCCACGAGGAACTTGGTGTCATCTCACCAGAACTCTGCAGAGCGGAACATTTGGCTCAGAGGACACCTGGGTGGAAAGAGGCGCTGTCATTCGCTGCTGTTGCCACGCGGCTGGCAAACCTCTCCATCCTCGCGCGTTACATAAGAGCTGCTGGACGGAGCTGATTGGCTCAGAGGGTCCGTCCAGCCACCGAGGATAATCATCCGAGCACAGGAGCCCTCCCGGCCGGCACTTTTACAACCAACAGGACGGCACATTTTCAACCATTCACACGAAGATCTGTCGAAAACTGTCTCCTCAGAAGTGACTGATTCAAGGTGAGCCAGTTTCCGGGTTTTAGCGTTTTAGCGTTCGAGCGAAATTTACGCATGAACTCGTCTGATTGTTAGTTTTTTAAAGCCAAAATAAGTCTGTCAGGAATTGGTTAGAAAATGTAACAGCTGATTGGAAATGAAAGACAGAGAAATGGGTCGTCTTTATTTTTATTTTTTTAAACACAGAATGACTTCATTGAAACATGACGTGTTGAGGAAGTGCAGAATTACCCACAGTGCAGCTGTCCACAGGATGAATGGTGTGCTGTCTCCCTCCTGTTTGTTTGTAGACTCTGCTGCCATGTCTGTGAGCATCCACATCAACAGCCCTCATGTCAAGTACACAGACAGCCACATTGAGGCTAAATACTCCTACCAGAGCACATCGGTGCACAGAGATGGGAACAAACTCACGGTAAGTTCTGTTGGTGTGGGAGGGTTTACATGCAGGACAGAACATGTACCAAGTGTGGTGAAATTCAATTGAAAAGGTGCTGTGGTGCTGCAAATCTGAAAGCGCATTCTGCAGGATGTTGTGAAGCAAAGTCAATTATTTATTCATTATTTGTTGCTTTTCAATTCAGTTCCTCTCTTGTTTTTATTTTTATTTTTATTTCTTTGTAATATCTGGCATAAGAATTTCTTTCAGGAAATAATGAAATTCTATCTTCACCCTGTTCAGGACCCCGGGCCATTTGGTTTAGTTGACATTTATTGTTTTTTGTTTTTTTTTTTGAAGACTTTTTAAAAATATAAAAAGAGGGACATTCGTCATGCGTTTGGAACCAAAAATATGTCAACTTATCAAAAAAATTATTTAATATAGTATAAAAGTCTGTAATGAATACAAACTAATATTTTCTTTCTTGGGGTCCAATGAACCCTGAAAGACCTTCTGTGTCTGGCAACATGAAAGTCCTGAATAAAGTTATTTCAAAAACATCACGCTGCAACTTTTTCAGCTGCTTGATTCAAAAAGAAAACTCACGTTTGTCATTTTGAAAAGATGACTGTCTGAAACTTAGATTTGCCCCCAATGTAGCATCTTTAACAGTAATCTGAGGGCAGTGCTGTAAATTAATCAGTTTTATTGTTAAGTCTGACCTAAAACCACCAGCGCTTTAATTGAACTTGTCTCTAATTTTATTCAACTAATTGTAATTCATTGTTTTTCTGTTATTGTGTACCTTGTTTTTTTTGGTTTGTTTTTTTGTTTACATTTTTTTACATGTTTTATTTTTCATACATTTTGTCTTTCTCTCCTTTTTTTTTTTTTTGTTGCTGTTTTGGTCAGTCAGTTTTATTTATTCTGTAAAATTTGTGGTCTTTCTTTAACTTGTCTACTTTTTCTCTTTATTGTATTTTTTATTCCGAATAATCAGTTTCATTCTAATGTATTAATATATATATATAATATAATAAATAAAAAAATAAAAATATAATATCTAAATATAATTGAATTTCCCTTCTGGGATAAATAAAGTATTTTTTATTTCATTCATTTCATTTCATGTAAGTGACTCAATTTTTAGACATAAAAGAACATAATTTCCTCTGATTTTAGGGTTTTTAGACGCACGTGCTTGAAATCATCGCCATCATTTTTATTTGATTTTTTTCAGTGGAAAAGAAACGCAAAACCATTCCCACTAAATCGCCACTCAGATCTTGGACTGCAACTAAGTAATTATAGTTTTTAATCTGTCGGTTAGTTTCCTGATTAATTGATCAGTTGTTTTTTTTCCCAAAAGCCGAGATGACGTCCTCAAATGTCTTGTTTTGTCAATAATCCAAAGATATTCACTTTACTGTAGAAACCAGAAAATGCTCACATTGAAGAAGCTGGAATTAGAGAATCTTGTCTTTTTTTCTTGAAAAAAATACTCATCTATCAAAACAGCTGGCAACCAAATGTAATAGTTGACAGCTAACTGGTTAAGTGTTGCAGCTCTCTTCATTCATTTGAAGTCGTAACGGCTCATGGAATAACCGCAGTATGATTCTGTCTGCGTACCTGTGAGCTTTATATGAATGTGTGCTCTACATGCATCCGTATGTGTCATCTGTTCAGTCTCCCACTAACCCGACACTGTGTGGAATACAGGTGACGCCGCACACCACTGAGATGACATTTCGCACAGAGCGGCAGGTGCCCCGGCTGGGTGTGATGCTGGCGGGTTGGGGAGGCAACAATGGGACCACAGTCACAGCAGCTGTAATAGCCAACAAGCTGGGTCTCACCTGGAAGACCAAAACCGGAGAGAAGGTGGGTGGAGGAAGTCAAACATGCCACGTACAGACGACATGGGCTGCTAGTGTGGACGAACAGCCTTGTGATATTTGAGATGAGGAGTCCACATAAGGATGACACAATGTAGAAGCACAAGACATGATGTTTACTCTATTTCAAGCAACGTCTCTGTATTCTCTCGATATAGATGTGAACCATGTGCTACCTAGAGGCCGTAAAAAGCGAAAAATCTGCTGATTTTCTTGGAAAATGGCCTCCATTTATATAAAGCGCTTCATAGTTAAGTCGCTATAGCATGTAAAATTGCTCTTTTTCCAAAAAAAAAGTGCCATTTATGAGGAAAATAGCTCCAGAGAGTGGATGAACTTTTTATAACCACGCTATTATGGGATGTGAAAACCTGAGGGTGCCACTAGGGAGCTAATGGAGAAGCTTTTGTCCTATTTTATAAATATAGCCTACTGTATGTCCCCAGATGCAGTGCTAGAGACTCATTACAAGCTGGTTACGCTGACGTGTTCAGCCGAGCGTTCAGAGCTTAACTTACTCAGGTCTCGGGGATTTCCCCTTATATGGGCAGACGGTTTTTTTAAACCTCCGTGAGCTGGTTCCTGTTATTTCCATTTTGGCGAGTTTACTCTGGCTCGTGTGATTTAATATACTTTGGGATGCACCTTAAAGCCACAGCGTCTTCCTTTTTCTTTCTCTTCTTTAGAAAGCAAACTACTACGGCTCCCTCCTGCAGGCGTCTACCGTTTGCGTGGGATCGGGGCTGGAGGGCGAAGTCAACGTGCCCTTCCGTGACCTCCTGCCAATGGTGCACCCTAATGATATTGTCTTTGACGGTAGGAACATCTCACCAGAGCCAGCTTAAGGCTCTACATGTGAGAGTGAGGGCAAGTGAGGTGTAAAAAAGAGCCCTGCATAAAGGTTAGAGATGTGCAGTCTTTTCCAGTCTGTAGACCTTTAACAGGCAGGCCATTTATAATGCCAATTATAAGATGAAATGGGTGATTCACTTATTAAGCTTTTGCCCTTTTAGTCCTGGGAAATGATTGACACCTGAAGGAGCACATTTTTTATTAATTTGGACCCGTTTCTGTGTGTTGTTTTTTTTTTTTTAGGTTGGGATATCTCCGCCATGGATCTGGGCAGCGCGATGGAGCGAGCTGAGGTGCTCGACTGGTCACTACAGGAGCAGCTGCGACCGCACATGAGCTGCCTGAAACCCAGACTGTCCATCTACATCCCAGAATTCATCGCTGCAAACCAGGAGAGCCGGGCAGACAACGTCCTCACCGGGACCATGGCGGAGCAGGTAATAAAAATGTCGACTCCGCTTTCATTTGTTCCAATTTCGTGTTGCAGTTTGACCTAAAGCGTAAACGTAATCGTCCAGGTGGAGCAGATCAGAGCGGACATAAGGGATTTCCGTCAGTCCAGCGGCGTGGACAAAGTCATCGTTTTGTGGACCGCCAACACTGAGCGCTTCTGCGATATCATACCAGGAGTCAATGACACCGCCAAGAACCTGCTGGCTGCCATCCAGGTGAGGGCAGACGAAGCAAAACAAGAGTTTTTTGGTCCTGAAGCTGGTTTCAGGAGAAATCTCAAAAATGGAAGAGGAGTAAATATTTAACTGTCCTTGAACCAGCCTAAATTGTGTTGATGGCTGGTAGTCGTCATGAATCACCCGTTCAACTTTAATTTCTTCGTAGTGCTGGAGACCAAACAGTAATCCTCCATTACATTTAGTGATTAATAAAGCTTAGAGGATGAAAAGATTAGCTCTTCTAACACGCGCTGTGGATTTGTAAATGAAATGCCTTAATGAGTCTGAAGCAGTCAGCAATTCCTTTTTATATCAGATCAGGGAAAGAAAATTATGGTTTGTCCCTCTTGGGTAAGTTTTTTTTTTTTTTTATTTTATCTCCTGCCTTGAGCATGCTTGTACTGCTGTCAGCAATGATAATAGTCCATTTCACAGACTTATGATCCTCAGCAAATAGCTCAATTTAGGATAGGCATGAAGTCGACAATAGAGTTGCGCCGCTGAGATGATGTAAAGAGGGTCTCGAGGGGGGGAAATGTAGTCTTGTGAGTCAAGCTCTCCTCCTTAGCGTGAGATGATGATTCACTCAGCGGCAGCCATCATCGCTTTGTTTGTTCTCGCAGGTCGGAGCAGAGGTTTCTCCCTCCACTCTGTTTGCAGTGGCCAGCATACTGGAGGGCTGCGCCTACATCAATGGCTCCCCGCAGAACACTTTCGTCCCGGGCGCCATCGAGCTCGCCATGCAGAGAGGAGTGTTCATCGGTGGTGACGACTTCAAGTCCGGGCAGACTAAGATCAAGTCGGTGCTGGTGGACTTTCTGGTCAGCGCAGGGATCAAGGTACGAGACAGAACGGGTGGATAGGATGAAGCAGGATAATGGAGACTAAGCCCCTAGTCTGAGAGGTGATCTTATATTTGTGTTCAGGAGGGAAATAAACACAAATATTAAACAGCATCAAGTACAATTTAAGATGGCAAACATCCAACTTGTGGATCTGTAACTGCATAAGCCATGAAAGACAAAAAAAGAGCCTGTAATAAATAAGCTCAAATAAAAGAAATGTTCAATGTTGAAAATTATACATAAGAGTATATGTAACATTCTAAATAGTTAAATCAGATATAATAGCTTTAACTGATCAAAAATATTACAAAACAAGTAAACAGACGAAAAAAATCACACTGGACTGAGCAGGATAATGGAACCAAAAATGGGAAAATAAGATTATTAATTAGCATCAGGCTTATCTTTAGGATACTAATTGTCCCATTAGTCAGCAAACTAATAACTACTACAGACCAATTTCCTAGAACAGTACTTCCACATACCCAAACCAGACATAATGCCAAAGCACCATGTTTGTATCATACAGTGCTCAAAACTGCTGGTTAAATTATCAAACATACACCTTCTATGTCCACAACCTGAGGAAACTAACCTAAAAATAGACCAAGACTGATCACAGAACAATTCTAGGATTGCTCTGTCTTCTATAAAACGATCTAACAGCATCCTCTTCACTATGATAAACAGTGTTAAATAAGATGTAGTTTAAAATTTGTCAGTAGAACTGACTTATTCTCATTCTCATAGTGTCAAATAGTGCTTTTCTCAACCAAAGTGTTGTGTTCACTTGCTGGTTTCAAAGATTTAGGCACAAAAACTACTCGGTCAAGTTTAGAAAGAAAGGTCTTTATGTGAGGTAACATACACCTTTTCACAACATTAATCAGACCAACTTGCCTGAAGAGGAGTGGTAGTGATGGCATTGGCAGAGAAGATGTGGCTACGGACTGGAATGTTCATGGAGTTTTATCAGTTTATTAGACCACCGTGTATGTTAAAAAATAACTCACCCATTGCATTCAAATGTGACAAAGCAGCTGTATATGATGGTTTAGGAGTGAGAAAGGGCTCCAAGAACACTTTGAAACATGATGGATGGGATCAGACCAATGGATCCGGAAGCTCTACGACTATTTTACATTTGAAGGCATAATTAATAACATTATTTGTCCTGTTGATACAGCAACAGTCCTATCCGTCTGTATTACTTCATCTTCTCAGCAGTGACAGTTTAATAATCCAGAGGGTAAAGGAGGTTTTTGAACAGAAACCTTAAAGAGAAGTCAAGTTACTTATTTCTGAAGCTCCAAGGATCACCATGACCTGGATGAATGTACACAGAAGTTTTGATAAGTTTCTCTGCCTTTTGACAGCCGACCTCCATCGTCAGCTACAATCACCTCGGCAACAACGACGGGAAAAACCTGTCGGCGCCGCAGCAGTTCCGCTCCAAAGAGATCTCCAAGAGCAACGTGGTGGATGACATGGTCCAGTCCAACCCCATACTGTACCAGCCTGGAGAGAAACCTGACCACTGTGTGAGTGAGAGACACCTAAAGAGCTTACAGAAAACAAAGCTGATCAGACGTATTAACTGTGTCTGTTTTGATTCCAGGTGGTTATTAAGTACGTCCCCTACGTGGGAGACAGCAAGCGCGCCATGGATGAGTACACTTCTGAAATAATGATGGGAGGGATCAATACGATCGCGCTGCACAACACCTGTGAGGTCAGCATCACTTCATCTATTTCTGTCAACAATATCAGAAACCACAGTAATAGAGCAGTTGTCTTGGAGTCTGAGCTGCTAATTGCTGGCTAAATATAACATTCAGAGCTTTTTGTCTTCTTCTGACAGTAGCTGGAGAGGAGGAAGGCTCAGGAATGCTGGAGTTAATCCTCCTTAACAAGCCTTAGAGCTAATTCAAACAGACTCATGCAGGTCACTGACGGCTGTAACCCACCAACGTTCCTACGTAAAGACATACTAATAATATTAGCATCAAATTAAGGGAATTTAAGATTAATTTATGAGCATTCACAACTAAACAAATTGCTTTTTTAATCCTGTCAGTATTGTTTTTTATTTTTTTTTAACAGACCTTAAGCTGCTTTGTCTTAAATTTGAATATGTTCAACTTTGGCACCCTCCAGTGGTAAAACAATTAATTTTGCATTGCATGAATGGGTGACTGCACCAATCTACACCATAATCCTCCCATTTAGTTTCAAACAAAAACCTAAGGAATCAAAATAATCTTAAATCATTCTCAGAAATTCAACGTGCAGTTTATCGGAAAGATAATCCACTGATTTAGTGCTTTTGGAGTCTCTGCATTTACTTTTCTTGCAGTTAATTACTGAGTGTGCAGTGAGATTAAACAATTCAAATGTTTGAATCTTATCACTTGTACATTGATCCAATAGTAATAAGCAACATAACCGAATTTTACCTGCATCGATGTCGCTGACATTAAAGCTAGCATGTGCACAGTTTTGAACAATTTGGACTCCTAGTGGTAGCATTAAAAAAGAAACTCTGCAAGGGATGCTGTTGTGCCAGGTGCATTGCCATTCTATTCTATAAACCATTACCACTCTGTGGCTCAGGTGGTAGAGCGGGTTGTCCTCTAATTGCAAAGTTGGCGGTTCGATCCCCCGCCCCTCCACAGTCGAAGTGTCCTTGGGCAACCCGAAGTTGCTCCCAATGGCAGGCAGCACCTTGTATGGCAGCTCTGTCGCCATTGGTGTGTGAATGTGTGTGTGAATGTGTGTGAATGGGTGAATGAGAAACATTGTAAAGCGCTTTGAGTGCCGCAAAGGTAGAAAAGCGCTATATAAGTGCAGACCATTTACCATCTCTTTTTTTCTTTGCAACAGGACTCTCTACTCGCTAGTCCGATCATTCTGGACCTGGTGATGCTGACGGAGCTTTGTCAGCGTATCACTGTCCAGCCTCAGGGGGAGGAAGACTTCCAGTCCTTCCACAGCGTCTTAGCGCTGCTCTCCTTCCTCTGCAAAGCCCCTCTGGTCCCATCAGGGACCCCGGTCGTCAATGCCTTCTTCCGCCAGAGGGCCTGCATAGAAAACATCATGAGGTGCGGCTCAGTTTTAGGGCTCGGGAAATTCCCCGAAAGCTTGCACTGTTCATTCAGCAGAGGAATTCTGCTGTTCGGAAATCCTTTTAGTGTGTATTCTATACATCTAGGTGTGAAATTCTGTGCTTTCATGTCGTCTCCCTCCTTTTTCAGAGCGTGCCTTGGCCTTCCTCCTCAGAACCACATGCTGCTGGAGCACAAGCTGCAGAGAAACTTCCTGCCTCCACACCCGACCTCCACCAACGGCGATGTGGTTTCTCTGAAAAAAGCCGCTCTCACCAACGGGAGCCATATACCTCTAACGAATGGCATATACGCACATATGGATGATGCAGCGCGCGCACTATGACCGCAAATGAAACACTGCAGCCCAAAAACACACTGAAACAACGTATGACCATGTTTAATAAGAACAAAGGCCCCTTACCAATTAAGCTGTTGTTACAAAAACACACTATAGAAGCCTGCAGTATGTGGAGCCCATAGACTACAACCATCTGTGGCTCCATAATACTTACAACATTTTTCGAGGCGAGCAGTTTTGCTCAAATACATTTCACAGTTTGTAGTGCAGTTATGTATTAATGTGTTTTCAATATTTTGCACTAAACGTTGTTTAGTGTTTTCACTTTTTATTTAATATGTTTCTAGGGTTTAGTGCAGATGTGAAGCACAGCTGTACAGGGTACTGTATGTATCTTCTGAAATAGGTTCATATGTTTTACAAGCAAATGTGGCACTGAATGGATCTGATAACTGCTGTATCTGTTGTCTGAATGTGCAGCACATGAGGCACCTTTCTTTCTGTGTTACTGTTGTGTTAATATGTATTGCTGCTTTTTTGTTTTTTTTGGAGGCATACACGTGTTTTTGTGAGACCTGGGCTATTTATATACTATAAACATGTAAATGTTGTTTGAACTTAACATGTTTGCGACCTTCATTTCTCATTGTGATTGTCTTTCTGACTGAGTCGTCCATCAGATGAAACTATTCTTCTGAACAGTGCAAAGCTGTGTCCATGATAGACAAGAACACTTGAAACAAATGTCAGTTAATCAATAAGAGATAGAGGTCTCTCACCCAGTCTTGCCCAGTATTGGCTGGGGTAGAATCTTTTGCAGAATATAAAAGGTGCAGCTGATGGATGCATGAATGTTCCTCTGACAGGAGCTTTAACTGGATCTCTGGTCCGGCTGGTTTCTGCATGCTTTATTTATGTAGGTAAGTTCTTGTCCAGCTGCTTGTGTTTATTATAATGTTTAACACTGAAGAAATTTAGCTTCTTTATGTTGTATGTGCACCGATATTAAACACTTGAAATTGTGCCCAGCCTTAAAACACACATGGACCCATTAGTGCCACGATTAAAGGTGGAGAAGGTCTACGGAATACGCCATTGGACCACTCAGACAGGTGACAGCAAGCCGCCGCCCTGAAACTTCAGGTTTGCTGTTTAGCGTCTGGTTAGTAATCTACATAAAATGTCTTTTATTTAAATTTTTGTGTTTATTCCATATTATTAAACTGATGTGATTTGGGGACAGGTAGTAGTTTTGCATATGTAAAATCATATCTCTGTGGACACCCTCATTCAACAAATGTAAATGCAACATGCAAACAGCCTTCTTCTGTGACTCAGAGGAAACAATCTCATGTCTATTGTTCTGGTTGCAAAAGGTTTTTGAGATGTTCAACTGGTGACAAATTCCGAGTTAATCCACATCCTCGTCAGGTGTGACATTAAGGACAATGATCAGATAACGTGACCAGTACAGAGACTCCCTTAACCAGTGACAATAAATCACCACCTTAACATGCAGCTTTATTCAGATCATGAGAACAGGCTGTTGACATGCTGGTTGTTTCCATTTCAGTCCTGGCCGTAGCCAGACGCTTAGCCAGCACCAACAACCCCATAAACTCTACGTGTCGCAGATATGTGGTATTACATGATGCAAGTGGTGAACAGATTTATGACTGACTTCTGATTTCTGCTCTTTGACACCACTCTACATCTGCACATTATCATTCCCAATACAGTGTAGACTTGGATGCTCAGTGAAATCCATTTTGTTGTGGAGATGACGTGTGTTAGAACAAACAAATGATTGAATTTAATAAAATATAACATGCTGCTTTTATATTTTTGGTCAGCATGCACATATGTCCATCCATCCATCCATCCATCCATCCATCCATTATCTATACACCGCTTAATCCTCATTAGGGTCATGGGGGGCTGGAGTCTATCCCAGCTGACTCAGGGTGAAGGCAGGGGACACCCTGGACAGGTAACCAGTCTATCACAGGGCTACACTTAGAAACAGACAACCAAGCACACTCATATTCACACCTACGGACAATCTAGAATCACCAATTAACCTCAACATGTTTTTGGACTGTGTGGGAGGAACCCGGAGAACCTGGAGAGAACCCACGCTGCACGGGGAGAACATGGAGACTCCACGCAGAAAAATTCCGGTGCGACACAAACCGGAGACCGTCTAGCTGCAAGGCAACAGTGCTACCAACTGCGACACCTTGCAGCCCTGCACATATGCCATAAATAAATAAATAAATAAATAAATAAATCTGTATTTGGAAAAACAAATATTAAGAAGTCTGTCATAATTACATGTAAATATTGATGTTTAGACAAAACCGTAAATCATTAAAATTATGAGACGAAAAGTCACAATTTTGAAATAAGAGCTCAACATGATGAATTTATTTTACAAGAATGTCATAATGACATGGAGGTCAGTGATGGCCAGCTGTTCTTTATTGTTGTTGTTGTTGTTTTTTCATTTTCGTTTATTTGCTTAGCAAAGCTCCCAGACTTTTCACAAAGTGAGCTGTAGGGGAACCTTCAGGGGACCAGCAGTTCATTTTTGCCCAAAGGGACCAGATTTCCCAGAATCCGCCCCTGTGCAGCGCACTTTGCGCACACTCTGCGTCACTGCAGCAAGCAGACCGACAGAGGGCAGTGATGAGGTTCTACTGTCATTATTTAGGTGAAATAAGGGGATATTAGTTTAAAGGAGAAGGCAGTGATCTTATAACTAAGTCGTTTTTAACTGTGTCTTCAGGACTCGCCATGTTTGGAGTCATTTCACGGTCAGAGGATGGATGTCAGCGCAGGTGGTGTCTGATTTGTCAGCTGCTGTAAATCAACTCATTTCCGACGTTTTTTCTGGCTCCGTTTCCTGTTTCATCACTTCCACTGCCGTTGCTGCGACACGGGACGTCAACAACAATGGCGGACAAGGAGAAGCGCCGGTCCGGGGTGACTCCCGCGGGGATGCCCGTAGGCAAAGCCGCCAGATCGGACAGCGACAGGGAGTTTCTGTCGCAGGCCGGCGTCGGAGAGCTGCTCCGCGGTGCCATCCTGAAGATGGTCGAAGCCCGATCGGACGATCCCATCGGGTTCCTGGCCGACCACTTCTGCAACCTCGCCTCCGTGACGGACACCGGCACCGCTGGATGCGGCGACGAGGAGCCGCTGAACTCCGGCGCGCTGAGCGCAGGCGCGCAGGAGCAGCAGCATCTGAACCGGGCGCTGTGGCACCTGCGGCTGGCGCACCACTCCCAGAGGTGAGGCCGAGACCTAGAGGTTTGCGGTCCTAAATGGACCAGTGTAGGACAGATGGGGGATCAGTGGGGAGCACGCTAACAGGCTGAACCATTAAAACGGGGATCTGGAGCTCAAGGCTTCATTCACAGCCTTTTATTGTTCAAACAGAAGAATATTTAAACAGTATTCTGTGTTTTTAGCAGGACTTTGACTCTAAATACAAGGCTGGGAGTTTAGGAGATTGCCCCAGCCTCCATTGGGACCCTAAATCTGCTAAAAAGCACCTGTTTTGGCTTTATTTTGCTCGAAAATACGCAGAACATCCTGTTTATATTATTCTAATATATTTAAACCATCTAGCTATTTATAATTTAGCTTGGCATCTCTACACTGAGTTCCCTTTGTGTCAGTATCATAACAAACACCTCAGCATCACAGTACACAGGCCTGTATGGGCCACCACGACGAGCCTAATCTTTGAGCACACATTAACAAAAAAATTGATGATGCAGGATTCATGTCACATTTGTCTGATGGATCTATTTAGTGAAGTGCATCAGTCCCTCCTGCAGCAAAACACCCACAACATGATGCTGCCATCTCCCTACTTCACAGCTGGGATGGGGTGACAATAATACAAAACAAACAAACAAACAAAACAAAAATCCTCCACATGTCAGGTTCATCCTGGGTACAATTTCCAGATGCCTTAATTTTCCACGTTCATCTGTTCAAACAATTATGTGCAAGTATAAACACCATGGGAATGTCCAGCCATCATACCGCTCAGAAAGGAAACGGTTCTGTGTCCCAGAGATGAAGTGTTCTGGTGCAAAATGTGCGTATCAACCCCAGAACAAAAGCTAAAGACCTTGTGAAGATGCTGCTGAAGCTGGTAAGAGAGTCATTATCCACAGTGGAACCAGTCCTGTACCGACATGGGCTGGAAGACTGCTCAGAGAGGAAGAAGATGTTACTCCAAGAGCAACATAAAAAAGCCAGATTACAGTTTGTAAATGCACACAGGGACAAAGAGCTAAATTTTTGGAGACATGCTCTGTGGTCTGATGAAACTGAAGTTAAATTGTTTGGCCTTAATGACCATCGTTACATCTGGAGGAAAAAGGGGGAAGCTTGAAGCCTGAGAACACCATCCCAGCTGTGAAGTACGGGGGTGGCAGCATCATGTTGTGGAGGTGTTCTGCTGTAGGAGGGAAGGACGAGGAAAGATCATTATGTAGAAATATTGAAGCAACATCTCAAGACATCAGCCAGGAAGTTAAAGCTTGGGCACAAATTCTTCCACATGGACAATGACCCAAAGCATACCACCAGAATAGTTACAAAGGACAACAAAGGCAATGTTTTGGAGTGTCCATCACAAAGCCCTGATTTCAATCCTGTAGAACATTTGTGGGAAGAGCTGAAAAGACATGTGGAGCAAGGTGGCTTACAAACCTGTTTCAGTTCCACCAGTTCTGTTGGAGGAATGGGCCAGAATTCTATCAAACTATTGTGAGGAGCTTGTGGAAGGAAAACATTTGACCCAAGTCATACAGTTTAAAGGCAACACTACCAAATACTAAGGAAATGTATGTAAACTTCTGACTTTAAAGAAAGTAATAAAAAAAATCTCATTATTCTGGCTTTCAGCAAATAGGAATAATTTTGGTAATCCTAACTGACCTAAAACAGGAAACGTTTAGTCTGATTTAATGTCAGATAGTGAGGAAAAAAAAGCTTTTATATCTTTTTATAAAGTGTATGTAAACTTCTGGTTTCAACTGTGTGAAGAGACGACTAGCTGACATTTGCATTATTAGTTTTTTGTGTCTTTAAAGATGGAACTTTTTCTGACAGATATATCTTAAATATATATTTCATCTATAATCAGAGATTATTTGATCTACTAGTCCAATATTGCAGATTGTGAATCAAAGCCATGATGAGAAATAACAGGGAACATTTCAGCAGACCAGCTCTGATCTTCACTTTCTGATAAGAGACCCCTTAATAAAAAGTTTTAAAATCCTAATTAATCACCGTATAGATAGCTAAACTTTTGCTTATCTTTCAAGAATTATAGCTGCTCCTTATCCTCTTCCAGCATGACACTTGATTTACATTTTGGCTCTTTTGTCAGAAAGACTTGTTTTACCTCAGATTTTCTTTCATCATGTCGTGCCGGTCTTATGTATCCACGTTATGAGATGTCTGTCCCTCAGATAACCACCTTAATACTGTGCTGATAGATGGACTTTAATATGTTCTTTGATTAAAAAATGATTTAAAAAGTCAACGTTTTTTCCAGAAACACATTCGTCTTACTCAGAATATTCCTCACTGAAAATAACAGCATAAATGACAGACATTCATATCTTTATGTAAAACAATAGAAGTAAAAATGATCATGGTGTTGCAGGAAGCTTAAAAACAGCCTTATCATCCTACTCCTGGTTAGGATCATTTGCTTGCTGACAATGACACAGTGAAGTAAAATCCATTATTTTGGGATATTCCTATCAAAGCTGTTAAGTTAAACATAATTAAAAATGTCTCGGGCTGCAGGGTGGCACAGTTGGTAGCACTGTTGCCTCGCAGCAAGAAGGTTGCCGGTTGGCGTCCCGGTGGGGGCACCGGAATCTTTCTGCGTGGAGTCTCCATGTTCTCCCCGTGCAGCGTGGGTTCTCTCCGGGTTCTCCGGCTTCCTCCCACAGTCCAGAAACATGCTGAGGTTAATTGGTGATTGTAAATTGTCCGTAGGTGTGAATGTGAGTGTGCTTGGTTGTCTGTCTCTAAGTGTAGCCCTGTGATAGACTGGTGACCTGTCCAGGGTGTCCCCTGTCTTCACCCTGAGTCAGCTGGGATAGACTCCAGCCCCCCATGACCCTAATGAGGATTAAGCGGTGTATAGATGATGGATGGATGGATGGATAAAAATGTCTCTTTCTGTCACGCTCCTATGGTCTAACTAATGATTTGCTCCCTTTTTATTCCATTTCCCTCCCAGATCCGCCTTCAGCAACAACGTCCGTGTGGCCTACGACCTCCTGAACCTCACCGGGCCTCGGCGGTCTGCAGGTGAGGCTCCTGAAGGTCCCGATGGCTCCAGCAGCGACAGCCCCACCGGAGAAGCAGGAGGAGGAGGCGGCGGAGGAGGAGGAGGAGGAGTGAGAGGAGGCCTCTACACACAGACTCTGCAGTGTTTGTGCAGCGAAGGCGGAGTCCCTGCCTCCACCTCCGCCCCGCTCCTCCGCCGCCTCCACTGCCAGGACCACGAGGCCGTCCCTTACGACGTCTTCCGCCACGGCGTGCTCACGTGCGCCGTCTTCTCGGACTACATCCGGCAGGCTCAGAGGCTGTACGCCGAGGTGTGCTGCCCAGACGAAGGGCCCGCCTCGAGGGCGCTGTGCCTGGCCGTGCTGGGGACCTTAAAGGAAGCACTAGAGACTTCCCAGGGCCCCGATGCAAACTGCTGCGTTAATGCCAACACTAGAGCTAGTTCCTGTCTGGAGACTAATGCGAAGGCGATCCGCTATCTGGAGGCCAGTGCCAAGATCTCTCCCTACAAGCTGGCTCAGGCCATGGCTGGAGGACAGACACGAGGGCCTGGTGGCGATATGGATGCGAAGGAGTTTGAAAATGCAGCCGCGGAGCTGTTCATCACTCGAGTGAAAGTTGTGTCCTAAGTTTTGTTGTGACTGATGAATGTCTAGCAATTTAGAGTAAATAATGAACCTCTCTTCACCTCCTGTAACCTCCAACATACTGCTCTGAAGACTTACACTAAACCCAATAATTCACGTGTAAAATCTGATGTTTGTTGACCGATCATGAACTTTTTAATATGGCACTAATGAGGAATCGTCTGCTGTGACTGTACGTCGTTACCGTGCTGTGTGAATGAAAAGAGTTCCTCTCCTAGACTACATTTATTCCTCAAAATCAGTATTTACCCTGATCGTTTCTCTTGTCGTTCAACCTTTGCCATCAAGTTCTCAGATTGGATAGTAACGCTCTCTCCTCCAGTTTCAGTGAAACCAACATTGCTGTAATAAATCCACGTTTTTTTTCTTAAACTTATCGCTTCTATCTTTTCTTGAGGCTGTCAGACGGGTGTTGGCTCAACTCTAAAGGCTGTGCAGCAGAACAAGAGTTCAAATTGATGTTCACTTATTTACTTGAACTTGTATTTTTATCTCAAGTGTTCCATTTAAAAAGCAAGTAAAGTGTTTGCATCACGTAGTTGTTTACAGACAAGGAATTCAAAAGCCGTCATTATGCATGATTTGTGCAAAAGAAAAAAGAAAAAAATAGACCAAAATCCTTCACTTGGATTGAAGAGAAATGAAAGAGACTGAGCAGAACTGCAGCTTCCCAAGGGAACACAACTTTTCAAATTTACCAAACAGCCCAGATTGTTTATCCGTGTACTGATAAAGAAAGAAAACTGCAGTATCACACTGATAAAAGATCAATTAAGATGTCTGGACTAAAAATGGACACTGAAGTTTTGATGTGCAAATTACACAAACCTTTATTTAGCAGTGATTAAATGATCAAATCGCAAAATGAATTCTCACAGGGTGGTGCAAAAAGATAACTCGGCGAGCACACTGATGCAAAACACATTTACTCAAGTGGAGCAGACGGATAAAGTTTTGGGTTTTATGCAGCTTCACACTTGTACTCTACTAAATCTCCAAGGCAAATGTCGTACCGTTTACTGACAACCTTAGTTCCCGGTTCCTCTTCAGATCACATTTTTTCATAGTTTTCGTGTCCAGTGAAAATAACAAGTCTCCAAATGTGGTGATTCTGAATGGATTGAGTATTTCTTTATGGGTTGGGGGAAATGTTTCTTCTTCCCAGGTTAACTACTCTTGGATGAGCTGGAAAGTGCATTGACTAGTGACGAGCTAGAAATACACGTTTTTCACACAAGACAGATGTGTAAACGCCACATGTGTCCACACACATGCAAACACACGATGATCTTACAGAATATGATGCGTTGCTGCAGATTAAACTACAGCGTACAGTAACACACACAGTAATGCAACAATAATGCTGCTTAAGAAACGTCATGTGTGACAGTGACCCTCCAGATCTCACCAGAGTTTAGAACAACAAAAGATGAATCTAACACAAACTCCCAAATGTGCTGCAGAGAAATTGTGATTATTTCAGTTAGACTCTGAAATACCATCAGAGTGTAGCCCTGTGATAGACTGGTTACCTGTCCAGGGTGTCCCCTGCCTTCACCCTGAGTCAGCTGGGATAGACTCCAGCCCCCCATGACCCTAGTGAGGATTAAGTGGTGTATAGATAATGGATGGATGGATATTTGAAATGAATAGTGAACAGAGAAACTGATGATAGTTCAACAAACAGCACAATAAATCTCATGTTGATTGAAGCACATCATGGCAAGTGTTACAACAATAAGACAAGTAAAACAGGATATCAGTGCTGTACGAAAAGCAGGAAACAATGCTGAAGATTCCTCAGTGGATTTATATTTTTAAAAAATCCTGATAAAATTTGCAAAATGCAGAACTTAGTTTTGGTTCCCAAATAACAAACACTGAACAAGATCTGAGATGGTGGAGCAACACTGGTACCTGACATGGCACAGGCCGATCCTTTACCTGAGTAAATGACCACTGGGTCTACAAGATAAGATAATACACAACTTTAATCATCCTGAATTAAATTCTAGAGTTAAATGTTACTCAGGAAAAAAAATACATAAGAATAAATACAGCCTAATAGAGGAGGTGGGTGAGAGGAAGCCAAGCTGACATCCATCATGGACAACACGTCTCACCACCTGCATGACCCTGTGGGCTCTCTGAGCAGCTCCTTCAGCAGCAGACTGATACACTCACAGTGAAAGACGGAGCGCTGCCACAGGTCCTTCATCCCAACTGTGAACTGTCAGAATCTACAATAATATGTTATAGTTCTCCTTCAATATTGTACCTTTACATACAGTCATCCTCAAATATATTCATACCCTACCATTAAAGAAAAGGCAAAATTCATAATAGTCATTCAAATTACTAGAAACTGAAAAAGTAGTAATAAATACAAATGTGTTAAATTATAATTTAGTGAAGTAAGACATTGCTTTTAAATTGTGGTTGAAAAGAATAATTAAAACAAACAAAAAACAAACAAACAAACAAAAAAAACCCACAAAGCTGTCCTGGACAAATTACTTTGCTGATGAGCAGTCGGCCAAAATCCAAACACCTGTCAACAGGTGCAGAAGTCTGATTGAGAGTTATAGAATACACATGATTGCAGTGACTGGCTCAAAGGGTTGTTCAATAAAACATTAGTTTACGTGTCCCATCATGCTTTTTTGCCTGTTTTTTTTTTTTTTTTTTTTTTAATATTTCTGTTTAATCACAATTCAAAAGTGATGTCAGGATTTTCATTAGTTTTTAATTTATTCCTACTTCTGTCAATTTCAACTGATTTCAGTGACAGCAGTTTTTTTTCCTTCTTTAATGAGAGGGTATGAATAAATCTGAGGACGACTGTATATACTATATAATATTATATCCATTTTTCCCATGTTCAATATCCTTCACACTGCATCACATTTTGATCCAGTTCTCATGTGCAATACATGTTGTGTTGTGTGCAATGCTCTTCCTATTTATAGTTATACTTTTATTTGTCCTGTTTTTTTTTTGTACTATATTTGTTTGCTCTATAAATAAAGATATTATTATTATTATTATTATATTTTTTTCCGTCTTTGGTTAACTTGTTGCTATTTTTGTGCTCTTGTCCTGCATCTGTTCTGCTGCAACACGTGAGTTTCCCCATTTGTGGTGATGAATAAAGTACAATCTAATCTAAAAGGAAAGCAATTACTATTAACATTACTCAAAACAAGTAAGCTAAAATTAGGCCTGAATAAAAAGTAAGAAGTGATACTGGCAACGATACTGACATGACATGAGAATAAATGCAGTGCCCAATGTAAACTTAATGAGATATAAGTATGATAAACAATTAAAAATAAAACTAAAATCAGACGAGAAGCGAAATGTGATACTGTCCATGAAAGTGAATTAAATATTGCACATGAAATAAAACATTGCAAATGATACTGACAGTGACATTGCATGAGCTAATATTATAAATGTTATTGATTTGATTATTGATTGTGCACACATACATTGATGAGTGCCGGTTTGAGCCACCAGGGGGCAGCACCACTCAGAGCCACACACTCAGAGGCAGAACGCGGAAGTGTCCTGGTTTGTTTTGCTCCGTGGAGCTGAAGTGAAAAGATGAGGAGCGACCACAAGGCGTGAGCGTCCCGCCGTGTGACTTTTATGACTGTGACTTCATGACTGGTGTGTTTAGTCCCGGCTGGTGGAGTCAGAATGGAGGAAGAGGAGCAGCTGCGCTCTCTGATGTTCCTCATGACTTACATGCTGCTGAAGCGCAGGAGAGACATGAACGACGCAAACATCCAGAGACGCAACGAGATCCAAAGACGCATCCGACACCGACAGTACTTCTTCCAGAGACAGAGGAGGATGCTCATGGTCGGTCCCTCCTTCTCTGTCCCGTTTTACACCAAAGAAAAAACTGCAAACTGCTCTAAACACAAACTATGACATGTGCATATTCCTTTGGACTGATTTGGATGACAGATCATTTTGGTACCAGAGGCGTTGTTAGGATCTAAAGTGAATATAAAATGTAAGACACTGGCCATCCCAGTTAGTGCAGATCATGTAGATCAGTGGTTCTCCAACTGTGTGACAAAAATGTCTGCGAACCACAAGAACTAACCAAATGTTAGAATACTTATTTTAACTGTATATAATAGTTTTATTATGTAGACACATTGTCCTAAGAACACTTCTTGGGCTACGATATCTGCACACTGTATTATGGGAGTGTAAACTGTAAAAGTTTTAACAATTTAAAATCTGAAAGTCAAGATTTTTTTCCAATTTTGCTTGAAATATACATAAATGACCAAAAAAAAAGTCAAAGAACAGAACACCTAAAGGCTAATTTTGCATTGTGGATCCTGTGGTCATTCCCAAAAGGTGCAGTATGAATAAATAAATTAACTAAAAAGACAAACAAATACATGTTTTGACATTTGTTGTGGTTGCACTGTAAGAAATAAAAGAGATCACCAACGATTACATTTATAGACGTAAAGAAAATGTGGTAGAAACTTAATATATTCTTGTTTAAGAGGAAAATTCTGGATATTTGAACGCACACAGTCTCAATGGATGTGTTACAAAACACAAGCTGACTCACTGAAATCTCTTTTATTTTCATCCCTTGTCCCCCAGATGATGCTCGCAGGAGGCATCCGCTCCAACGCCCGCATCCGCACTCGTCCCTGGACCAACACTCCGAGCACGGATTGGTGGGAGCGGGTGGTGATGACAGAATTCCAGCCCTCTGATTGGCTGGATAAGTTCCGCATGAGCCGGGAGACGTTCTTCTACCTCTGTGACAAGCTGAGGCCTCGTCTGGCTCGCCAGGACACCAGCTTCCGCCTGGCGCTGCCGGTGGAGAAGCGCGTGGCCGTGGCTCTGTGGCGCCTCGCGTCCAACATCGAGTACCGCACCATCAGCACCTTGTTCGGCGTGGGGAAGTCCACGGTGTGCAGGTGTGTCCGAGACATGTGTCACGCCATCGTGGCGCTGCTCAGCTCCATCTACCTGCGACCCCCCAGTGAGCAGGAGCTGGAGGATTCAGCTCAGCTCTTCCAGGCCTACTGGGGTTTTCCTCACTGTGTTGCTGCCATTGCAACACTCCACACAGCGATCATCACCCCGTCAAACAATGCGTCTGACTACGCCAATCCTGCTGGCTGGCTCTCAGTGCTGTCTCAGGTAGAGGAGGCTCTCGACTATGCTGCTGCATAGACGTTCCTGCTGGTTGTCTGTCAGATTTTGACTGCTTGCCTCTTTCTGTTTCTGCTGTTTCAGGTGGCAGTTAGCGGCCGTGGACAGTTCTGGGATGTGTGTGCCAGTTTTCCAGGCGGAACAGATCCAGCAGACATCTTACAGAACTCCTCGCTGTGGGCCACAGCCGCAGAAGGTGGACTGTCACCTGTCCCACCACCTGTCTTCATGGGGAAGCCACTCAGGTAAACTGCTTGATAGTTTGGGGTCATTCAAACTCAAATCAACAGATTTTTAGAAGAATTTCTGCTTGATCATCTCTAGTTTACCTGAATTTCATATAAAATATGGATACTTATAAAGATATTTGTGAAATTTTAGCTTTATATATCAAATACTCTCCGATATAGATAGATAGATAGATAGATAGATAGATAGATAGATAGATAGATAGATAGATAGATAGATAGATAGATAGATAGATAGATAGATAGCCTGTAGGCCAAAAATGGAAAAATATGGCCATACAAAAAAAAACTTCTTAGTTATACACAAAGATCTGTTTTCAAACCCCAGAACTCTTTTATACATGAGTGAGGCTATCCAGCAGTATTTTTGTTTGTGTCATACATGCTCATTAGTAATGAAAGTTCAACAAAAATAACTTTTGCTTTATTTATGTGCCCCAGTATGTCATATTTAAAAAGCATTCTATATGTTTTGTTATTGACGCCTGCATTGTCAACTTTTTCATCAATATGTGCCAAAAGATGGGATCTTTCATGACAGTGAAACACTTTTTTTCATATTTCAACTCCCCCACAATCACAGATTATTTAATCTACTTGTCTGATTTTGCAGATTCTGAATTAATGCCATGATGAAAAATGGGCATTCTGGCTTTTATTTTTAATTGTTCGTCAGATATTGTCATCAAAACAAAACCTCAAAGTTCAATGGGTGAGAAAATGTGTTGAAAGTGGATTGACAAGCAAAAAATCTCAAAAAATATTTTATAGATCAAGCTAAAATGTCCGCAGCACCACTTTAAATAACCCAAGTTTATCATAAACAAGTTTTAAACAACTCAGAGATGGTCAAGCTGAAGGCCCTAAGTACCAAGTGCTTGTAATATACATCTTTATGCCGATGACACAGTTTTGTACTGTCGTGTGGGCACAGTACTTTCTGCTATCACAGCCTTGCATCTGACAAGCATGAATTACTTCTTAATGCAGATAAATTAAACACACGATCTTCTCCAGAAAATACAGCAATATGGTCATCTCTGCTACGAGAGCTACAATTACTGAAAGAGTTTTAGAGTACAAATATCTGGGAATGAGGATTAATGAAACACTGACTTTCAAGCATCATGTGTGGATGCTGGTGACTAAATTATGAAAAAAAAGCTGTTAATTTTCGCCACTGCATTGCAGAAAGATGCCTATTGATGCAACTTGGACAGTGTTTATCACTCTGATGTTTATTACTGGTGATAATTACAATACTAATCACTTTGAGCCGGATTATGAAGTTGGGTGGTTCTTTCTCTCTCAAAGGTGTGACAGACTGTGGTCCTTATTTATCTTTAAGGCTCTTCTTTTGACTCATTTTTATCCAAATTCAAGTTTTAAATTTCATTGTATTTTACTTCCAGCTGCTCTTAATTTAATTGATTTACTTGTTTTTAAATCTTAAATGCTTGAATTAACTTTTTTTCTATTTTACCTTTTCATATTTTTTATTCGTGTGCCTACATGTTTTACTCCTCAATGTATGGCGAGTTTAAATAAAGGTTGAATGACTCATTTTTCATCTTAAAGGCAAGCAACAAGCTGCTAGACTTGCTGGAGTATGTTGGATTGTCGCTCAGCTTCCTCTGACATTTATCTGTCTGCTTTTAAATAACGCATGACGGCATATAAAGCTGAACTGCAATGACTAACTGATCAAGAGGAAAAATAATCATCAACAGTTTTGGAAATCACTTCCTGTTTCTTTTTTTTTCACAGTTTTGCTTCTCAAATTGGGGCAATTATCTGCGATTCTTTGTTTCTCTCATAGTAAACCAACTGAACTGATTGGACTTTAGACTGTTGAAACAAGATGTTTGAAGACATCACTTCTGCCTTTGGACAACTGTGATAGCATCCTTCTCTATTTATTTATTTTGTAGACTAAAGGATTTCACAATTAATTAAAAAACAAAAGAGATTGTGAGAATCGAGCATTGGAAACATCATGATTCTACTGAATAATCTCCTCTTGTTTGAGCTGGGTTAGAGCCACGTGATCACGTAACAACTGAATGAAGCCTGTCTGTTCTGTCTAGGTATGTGTTGCTGGGGGAGGCCTGCTACCCTCTGCAGAGCTGGCTGATGAAGGCCTATCCTGAGGAAAAGAGCCGGAGGGCGAGTCACGCAGCGCTGACGGAGCCTCAGCAGCTGTTTAATCAGCAGCTCACCAGAGCGCTGCGTGTTTCCGACGAGGCGCTGCTGAGGCTGAGGGCCCGCTGGCAGTGCCTGAGCAAGAGAAACGACTGCGGGCTGGACGTGGTGCCCACCATGATCCTGGCTTGCTGCATTCTGCACAACATGTGCGAGTCCCACGGAGACGCTTTCAAAGCAGAGTGGCAGGTGGAGGTGGCCGAGGCGGAGAGCCCCCAACCAAGCCACAAGCAGCTCCTCTCCACTAGCATGGACCAGAGTAATGCCGAGGAGGTCAGACGCCTCTTCTGTGAATATTTTGAACAGCAAAGTGACTGAGAAGGGACTAAAATGATGAAAATCCCTGTAAACTTTTGTACTTGTTGTATTTTCCTAATTATACCACCAACATGTGTGTACTATAGGAATTAAAATCTCATATTATATTCCGGGCTGCAAGGTGGTGCAGTTGGTAGCACTGTTGCCTCACAGCAAGAAGGTCGCCGGTTCGCGTTCCAGTGAGGACACCGGAATCTTTCTGTGTGGAGTTTGCACGTTCGGGTTCTCTGGCTTCCTCCCACACAGTCCAAAAACATGTTGAGGTTAATTGGTGATTGTAAATTGTCCGTAGGTGTGAATGTGAGTGTGCTTGGTTGTCTGTCTCTAAGTGTAGCCCTGTGATAGACTGGTTACCTGTCCAGAGTGTCCCCTGCCTTCACCCTAAGTCGGCTGGGATAGGATCCAGCCTCCCCACGACCCTCGTGAGGATTAAGCGGTGTATAGATAATGGATGGATGGATATTATATCCCATATTAACATGTGTCCATAAGCTGAATAGGCAGTGCAGCGAGCATCTTAACCCACAGTGGAATCTGATGCACTGACTCTGAGTAAAGCTCCATGGTTATGCCAAATCTGGCAGTGTGAAGTCTTAATAATGCATGCATGGGATTTTTGTTGGAAGACTAAAATTCTCATTTTCCCATTTTAAATCCATCTAAAAAAAAAAAAAAAGCACTGTATAATAAGACTTCTTTGTATATACTGCATATATTATTCTCACATATTTTGTACATTTTTGTAGTGCGTCATTGCGTAAAGATTCAAGTTTTATTGATGGTTTGGTGCACATGCTTTTGTTGGCGTTTTTGTTGATTTCAAAAGCTTACAACTAAGGCTGGACAATATATCATTTTAGCACTGACACTGCGATGTATATATATATACACAGTAGTCACTATGCAGGATGTACAATGTGCAGCAAATGAGCTCAACATCTGAATTTGTCTTTCAAACTGTATTCACACGGTGCAGACTTTTTTTTTTACATGCAGGCTCCATATGTGCACAGCAAAATGAACAAAGAAATCGAAAAAGGAAGATTTGGTTGCAAAAAAAAAAAGAAAGTCAGGTGTATGGAAATATGTGGGCTACAGAAGAAAGGACGATGTTGACAGCAAACAGGTGCTCTGTCTGCAGTGTGTGATCACTGAAATCAACACCACAAAGCCAGATATGAATACCATCCTGAGTAAAAAACTGTTTTGCGACTATTGCACCGTATGAGAACATCTGCACCGTATCTCCTGATACAGATGCAATTCATTCTAGAATCATAAATTATTTCTAAACAGAGTTTTGTGGTTAAAATTCCAGTTTTTCTCACATCAAAATGTGTTGCACAAAAAAAACCCTAAATATCGCTTTCGATCTTATATCCTGTACCCCTACATACAGCTAAAAAAAACAGTTTCTCTACTACTTTTCAGGGCACTTGGACCCTAGCAGTGGCTTTGCACATCAGTTATTAGACGTTGAATTGAATACTTAACTCAGTGCAGTCGGTTAAAAAATGATTTGCAACCTGCACCCGGTTTCCTAAAAGACAGAAGTACGCAGAAATAAACACGACACATAAAGCTTGATTGAAACGACTTTGTACTTTTGCAGATGCCATTTACTTCTGAATGCCCAAGCATCCTCATGTGCTACCGTCAACAGATGTGATGTGCAATTGTGCCGTAAAGGCCACAAGGTGTCGCTGCTATCCCAGCACACATCCACCACAGTCATCACAGATCATTGTGTGCTGCTGGCTGCATTATACTGCAGATTATTGATGGAATGATGACTACATGATTATTGAATTGTCCTATTACCATGTGTGCATCACATACTGAACGATTTTTATTTTTATTTTCCAGAAAACTGTGCAGGATGTTATGCACACAGGTGGAGATGGACTTGATTTAGCAGTGATCTAACATGTAATGCTTTGGATGTACAAGAACTTGCACAAAAGAAAAAAAAAAATCAGCTCATACATATTAGGTTTTGCACCTCATCGACCAAACTTGAATGCTCGGGAGTCAGATCCCACCCCGAGACCCGCCTCGTTCATTCAATTGGTCTTCCTCAGACCTGTTTCACGCAATCCTCCGCCTGTCAGTCACCGCCACAGTATCCTCCTCCTCCTCCTCCTCCTCCTCCTCCTCGCTTGGCATCATCCCGGAGTGTGCCCACCTTGTTCCAGCGACGAGCGACCCGAAAGCCATCTGTTTGAAGTGAATACATCTCCAGCTAAAGCCGCCGGTCCGGCACGCAGTTTTTTTTTCTTCTTCTTCTTCCTCCCAATATTTCAGGGCTGGTTGTCGTAGCCTTGTATTTTTAATCGTTAAAAAAAAAGAAAAGAAAAAGGAAAAAAAAAAGAGAAAATGAGTCAGGATGTGATGGGGGTGCTGTCCTGTTATCGCTAGCTAGGCGGACAAATTCCTTCAACCAGACTGCTGCTTCAATCACTGCGGCTTTGACACAGCGTTAGCCGGGAAGCTAGCGGGCTAGCAGGGGGCAGCTTCGGTAGCTGTTGCGTCTCATTTAGCTCGTAGTTCGCCGAGAAAACGGGGCTGCGGCGCGGACAGTGCAATAACCGTTATCACACTAAATGTTAGCTTACCGACAGCGACTCTTTGAGGGTTTTTTTTATTTTTTATTTTAGCCTAAACTAGCTAGCTAAGCGGTGCACATATATCAGCTGTTACGGGTTTTTTTTTTTTTTGGATGTCGCGACACTGCAGGTTTGAGCCACTTCTTGGCGGATTGTGATTTGAATCGGGAGGCGAAAAGCTAGAATCGGGAGGGTTTAATGATATAAACGGGTATCAAGCAGCTAATCTTGTCGTAACATTAGCCGTATTGAAGGCATCTCGGGGAGGCCCCATCCGCCGTCTTCCTGGCTCCCTCCTCCCCCGTGTGTGCGAATCTCCCGTGATTTGGCCGAGAACGCCCGGGCGAAGTCGCAGTTGTTCTCGGCTGGGGGGACAACTTGACAGCGAGGCCCCTGGCTAGTCTCCCCTCCCCTCCCCTCCCCCTCCCCAGTCCCGTCCATCCATCCATCCGTCCAGCCAGCCAACCCGACATAGAAGAAGGAGAAGCAGAAGAAGACCACCTCCTCCTCCTCGCCTGAGACCGAAGCGAGGACCCGGGGATTCGGGATAAGCTGAAACCGTGGGCAAAGTGTTAGTCGGGTCCCGTCTAAACCGGGCTGCCAAAACCAGAGGGGATGACTCTGGAGTCCATGATGGCTTGCTGCCTGAGCGAAGAGGCGAAGGAGTCGAAACGAATCAATGCAGAAATTGACAAACAACTCCGCCGAGACAAGCGAGACTCCAGGAGAGAGCTGAAATTACTACTTCTCGGTACGTAGCACGCTAATCGCGAAATAACCCTTTTTGAATTGTCACGTTTTGTGTTGCTGTGTGGACAACTAAACCCTTTTTTGGGCCTTCTTGGGCAATGCTAGCAAATAATGCTACTAGTTAAGGTTGCTAGCTGGACGCCTGGTTTCAGTTAAGAGCAACGTTATGGCATGATTTCCCTCCCCAAAATGCGAGGTTTTTCCTTCTAGCATGTTATTAAAAAGACATTATTTGGCGTGTCCAGGTGTGTGTGTGCGAGAATTGGCTAACCAGCTACACTGTCTTTTTATTCGAGTGCATGTATTGGCATTGGTGTGCAGACAGCAGCTCGTTTGGCATCGAAGTTGCTAAGATGTCACCGTTTACAGGCGACCACATGCTAGTCAAGTGGGCCAGTTGGACATCACTGACTAGCCCTAGAGCTAACCAGTTGCCTAGCTTCAAATCTGCCACTGTGGTGCGTTAGCTGGTGCTACTTAAAAAAGGCAAGAGATGGTCACTTGGTAAAAGAAGAAGGAGCAGCAGCAGCAGCTTTGGATTGCTGTGCATTGTGGCTTTCACCAGGTTGCATAACATTTGCACAACTGGAAGAGGCTTCAGGTGCCTCAGCTGGACCCTTGCATGGTGTCCATTCATTCATTGCTGCATTTCTCTCATTTAGTAATGTGCACCAAGTGTCACAAATCTACCCTTCCAGAGGGCTAGGATACTGAGGGATTTGCCCCCTCATCCTGGAGTCTAGCTGAGTAGGTTAGCTATTTTTATAGCTGGTGTGTGGGCAGGTGGGAGCTGCTGTTGAATAAGTTGCTCTGTACTGCATTGATTCATAGTTCTGTGGACACAAAAAGGCACAGTAGGCCATGCTTTATCACAAATGGATTTGCATTCGTCTCAGGACGATGTGTTATGCGTCCGTGCATCTTCTGAGAGGCTTGTGCATGATGTGGCCCACCGGCTGCTTAAAACAACATTTAGTGTGAAAGCATCTTGGAGGGGAAAAAAAAGGAAAAAAAAGCAGGTGTCCATTTTTAGGACAATTAGAATTATCTAGGTTGCATCCTCAGTTTCAAAACGTTTGCTCCCATTTCACACTCACCAAATGCAGCCTCCGTTATTTGACATGTGTGTCTTCTTTTATTTCCCTGCTGAATACCTCAGCTCGGCAAAGTAGGCCATACTAGAGCCATACCATTGATGGGACAGATTCTGCTCTCTGTCATGCGTTTTGATCGCTGTCGCACTCTGTTCTACCTGCCTGCCAAGGTGAGCAGGTGAAAAGGGGCGTGTGTTTTTGTGCAGCAGTTTGGAAATGGCTTGCTGCAATCGCATTTCTTGTGCCAGATGATCAGCGAAGGGATGGGTTGACTGAGCGGTTTTCAGGCAATCGCTTGCACTCCCTCGAAGCGCCATCCTCTTTTTGTCTTTGACGCTCTGTGTTATAGTTTCTCTATTGCTGTTTCCAGTATAGCTCTGAATTTGACAGCAGGCATTATAAAACGTGTGTCAGTGTGAAAGACAGAAAGCAAGCAAGAACTGCAGTCAGTCATGCTGTAAGTGAACTATCATGTGTGAGTTAAGGCTGTCAGTGGACGCCTGGATAAGGACGTGTAAGGCAGGATTAGTCCAGGTCTTAATAGGCTTGGTTAAACACATCTGCTGCTCTGAGTCTGAGATGTCACTGACTCCTATTATCCCCTGGCATTATTCTCAGGCCCACAGCCTTCAGTGAGCTGCCTGCCTCTCCACACCTCACTGGAGGAAGAAGACAATCTCTCTTTCTGAGCATTTAACCCCCATGTTCCAAAATGGCTGCGTAATACAGCGCTTTACAATTTGCCTCTCATTAATCCAGTGGCCTGCGATGCAAGGTGCTGCCCTGACTACTGCAAACAATTTGGTATTTGACATCTTGCACACGAGGAAGACCACCAACCCCCCGTGGTTAGTGGCGGACCTGCTCTGCTGAGACACAGCCGTTCTCTCGTCAGTTGTGTTTTACTTGTGCAGGAGAGGGAAAATGATATTGAGCTCCATCTCGGCTGAATGTTGTGGGAGTTGTTCTGTCATTACTAACCCTGCAGTTCAGTGCACATACAGGAGATATGTTGTACATTTCAGCTGATCTTGCAACAGTGAACCCAAGAGCTCAATCTGGTCAAGTATGCACAGTTTTAGTTTTCGTACATGATGTGTCATTGCAGATTTCTGTAGTGTTAGTGCCAAACATGGATTTATTAAAGGAAGGATAGAGCTGAAAATGATGACTCGACAACAGAACAAAACATTAAAATACATCCCTTTGGTTGCTCAAAACTTGTTTTTGAGAATTTCTACCATTTTCTAACAAAACTAATCAATTTTAAATAAGTAAGCTGCATTGATCTATACTGAAAATTATTGTTAATTGCAGCTCTGTCCTAGAAACAGACAATATATACTTGAAAGTGACAATTTCCTAAAGCCCAAGGATTTAAAATGTACTTGTTTTGTCTCACCACAAGTCCACAATGTGAGGATGTTCTGTTAACAGCAAAGCAAAGCAGCACATTTTTTACATTTGAGAATCTGGAACCAGAGAATATTTGGCATTTTTGCTTGGAAAAAAATTGCAAATTTATTAATCTGATAGTTGTTAAAGCTCGAGATAAATGCGACACCTACCACAGCTCTATGCTGCATTCTCCTCACAACAAAGTTTTTCTCACTAATTCAGGTCCACCCTCCTTCAGTGTCCCTCTCCCTTCCTGGCAGGATGTACTATGTGGCCAGGATCCATTGCCAAAATAGCCATGTCTTGACAGAACAGTTATGAGGTTTGGTTACAGTTTATACCAGGCCCAGGCATGAGCTTCCCACATAGAGAATACAGTGAGGATGAACGTTACAGGAAATCATGTAGGTAAAGGTTGTGACGTTGTTAAGTTTATCCACTTATTCAGGAAATCTCAGCTCTGCCAGGGCTGCAGCAGTGCCCACAGTCTGGCTGCCTGTCACTGAGTGCCATATCAGGCCATACCGACAGCTTCCTGCTCCACAGACCAGTGGTTTGCCTCTACTTGGTCAAAACACAGTGGGCCAGGAGCTGTGGCCTTTGCTGCATTGGGTAAATGAACTGCTGGAGCGCGCGAACGGTCAGTAAAGTGAGATGGTAGCTTTGGGGCTTTCAAGGTGCTCGCCGAAGTAGACGTTATCCTCCCAGGCGAGCTGTCAGTGTAGCAGTTGGCATTCGCTTTTCGTGAAAATGTGAGTTTCGCATGAAACATGAGAAACAAGAGTGCCTGGCGATCAGTAAAACATCCCTAGAATGACGTCAGGAAGGCATTTTTGGTCATTGGAGAATTTGTCATGCGTGGTATGTTGATGACGGACATCGGTTTGATGTACAGTCATTTGCCAAGTCCCCATTGATTTAGTTGTTCTTGCTGATCCTGCCTGTATCAGCAGCACTTCTTGTTACCAGGTTAAGACATCCTTTAGAGGAACGGTCTGATTGAACCAGGAAGAGGATCAGGGGTTAGGCTCAGATGTTTATTGCTGACCTTACTTCTCTTGCCAAGCCGTCTTATTTTGATCATATATGGCAATAGGGATGTTCTAGCTCTACTCCTCGGTGCTTGTGTGTGTGTCTGCGTATGTGTGTGTGAGTACAGTGCTTTTAATGCCAGTGAATGTGGAGCTATGCGGATGGTCAGATATTCCTGAAATCCTCCTTATCGTGGTCGGATCTAAAGCTTTTAAATATGGAAACCGTTGTGAGACATGTTCTGCATTTATGGGAGTTTAAAAAAAAAATCTGATAACCATATATAGACTGATACTCATTTTTGATGTAAAATCAACTTTTGTGTTTGATAAAGATTCTTTATGTTTGGTAATTAGAGAATCAGTAACTTTGAAGTCATTTTACAGTTAAACAGTAAACTAGTCTGCTCTTCTGTTTGCATTACCTAAAGGAGTGCACTAATAACAAGAACAGTGATTAAAAGCAGTGTTACCCAAAGGTTTATCGTCGTCTCCAAACATGTTTAAAGTGCATTTATATGTGGCTCATAGGCAGAGGCAGTTTTACACAGCTTTCCTAATGTTCTCTGAGGTATTTTTGCTGGCATTTAGGCATTTATTAGATATTTGAAAGTGCAAAGATGAAAGGACATGAGGGTAAAGAGAGAAGGAATGCCGTGCAACAAAGGTCCAACATACTGGCATTGGAGCAGAGTTTGACTTTATTATACTTTTGGTCAAACACAAATTCATGTCATTTATTTAATTTTTCTGCTTCAAAAGGCCTAAAAAAGCTGCCGTTATCTTTTGGTTGCATTGTGAAGAACAATTTTTCACTAGAAAAGGCAGATTTTGTGAGTTCTTTGAGAAATAGTTGCTGGCTTGTCAAATACTTCAGTTTGTTTAGAAATGTTTGTTACTGACTCATGTTGTTGTGTGACGAGCTACGATTAGTTGATTAATTGATTATTTGTCAAATAGTACGTTAATCCTGAACTATTTTGAGAATCAATGTAGATTTGAGTCGTTTATTAAGGAAAAAAGGTACAAATTCTCTGATTCCAGCTTCTTCAATTTGAATGTTTTCTGATTTCTTTATTTTTCTGTGAAAATAAATTGAAAATCTTTGAGTTGTGCAAAAAAACCCACAGCATTTGACAAAGTCATCTTGGGCTTTCGGGAACACTGATCGGCACTGTTTAATATTTTCAGACATCGTAGATATCAAATGACTAATCAATTAATTGAGAAAATGATCTACAGATTAAGAAATGATGAAAATATTTGTTAGATGTAACGTTACTGATGAGATACTGTGTGTCTGGCTTAATGTCGAATACGCCCTTGCAGCTTTAATTGCATAGGTTTTGTTTAATTCCTCTTTGCTTATAAGGACAAGCCTCTACTTAGGAAGTCTTGATTTCATTTCTTGTCACTTAAAGTCAAAAGGTCCCTGCATGCTTTATTAATATTGAAGTCACAGTTAGGTATGCACACAC